GAAGCGGGCACGGGACCTCCGGGACCCTGGTGGGATGATGCTGGAGCGCCACCGTGAGAGAGCGCCAGACCTAATTCAAGGTCTTTGATTCTATGTACATGGTTTCTGACCCAATGCCTCCAGCGTATTGACCCTTCCAGCTATGGCAAAAAACTTACAGTATTGATTCTATGTTCGTACTTACTTTGCTGTTCGAGATTTTTCTGACGCTTGCCACTCGAGTTTCGACCGACTTTGCAAGTCACAATTTTGACTTTTCTCCAGTCTCAATTTTTCAATTTTTCAACTTTTCAGCCATTGTGGTTCAAACCATCAGTTTCGACTACCTTCGTGCTTATTGCTCCTTCTTGTACAGAACTACCGTGTTTCCCATCATGGACGCGCATCAACAATGGTGGCAACAATACTATGGCACCACGGCACCCACTGCCGGCTATGGACCTCTCACCAATGCAGTTCGTCATCACTACCAACACCCCTATCACCAGCATCATCAACATCACGCCAACATTCCAGCTGATCCACCCACTGCCTCTCCAGCACCACCAGCAACGTTTCCACCCGAACCCCTGCCCCCACCCGCAGCATCTCACCACCCAACGCCTCCACAGCTTGGTGTGGTACCCCCCAACATCCCCAACCTACCCGACACATGGACTCCCAGCGACACACATTTAGATACGAATACCGTACACGGTCACACATTGTTTCGGACAATTCAGCCGACGCAATGGTCCAGGAAATACAACCTCGCAGGACAACAAGTCCTCGATATTTTTCCATGGCAGCTCAGCCGTTTTGGCCTCCAGGACCACAGCCTACGCATCCTGTCCCAAGGACGCTACACAGGCATTGTCACCACCAGATCTATCGCGGAGGCGGTCTTCACTTCACAATTGCTGCCGGAGATGAGGGCCCACAACCTGGACATCGACAACATCGCTGAATATTTGCACCAACAAGCAGATCAGTCCATTCCAAACAAAACCACAGAAGCCAAACAATTCATGCAACCACTTATTTCTCGCATCATTGACTTTCTACGAGGCCTTACACCACCAGCCGGCGAAGGCACAGCACTCCGAAAGCTCCAGCAACAGACAGATCGCTTACAACAACAAGAGAGCGAACTCCAGCGCGCTCGCGACAAGCTGAAGAATCATGGCATTGCACTCACACCAACCAAGCCAGGGTCACACCATGCCCCATCATCCGCCACCCACACACCGCATCTCCCACTCCCAGCCCCTACCGCCATCACAACCACCACCATTCTTAATCCCACCACACAAACACTCCATGACAACTCACCAGCCAACTATGCAGCAGCTGGCATTCAAAAATGGCTCAAGACATTACCACCAGCCACTCAGACACAAGTCACCAACATCCAGCAGATTCTTCGAGATGAACATATCACAAAAGAACAACTTCAAGAAGCAGCTACCCGCTACGGCATCCCGCTGGCTCGGGTCCTCAAGCTTCCCCCACGTTCACTACAGCAACTGGTGGCCGCGGGTTCGGCATTGGCAGCCTGACTCGTACAACAAGCGCTGCATCAACCAACACATCACACCCTACAATCTTTAACAACATTACACACAGCGCTATCACACTTTGTCCATTTCACCCCCTACATTGACAAGTCACACGCTATTTTTTCTGTCAGTCTTATTCACCTTACATGCCTCTTTGCCTTTCCTTCACAAACACATCACTCTATACAATGGCGCTCCCGTTTCAACCAACTACAAGTTACACCACACACTTATCACTACCAAATGTTCACACATCCCAATGCGGTTTATGCCAAGCTCTTTTTCAACCAACATCACACAAGACACCAGTACCACCAACATGGACATACATACATCGGCTCTACCAGCATCACTATCCCCAAGCGAGAATACAATCGTCACGCAAAACTCAAACAACTACACAATAACCACCCAATTTCAGCTGAACTTTCCCTACGCTACTGGCACTCCAAGAACAACCTCCACCACTACAGCACTATTTACCTTTCCCATCACGACACCTATGATCAAGCATGGACCTACGAACACCTGCGGATCCAAGAATGGCAACCTACACTCAATTGGCCCTATATCCAACGACACCTCAAACTCAAAGCCTCAGGTTGGCAATTCTCAAAACACCGCACCGCTTTCACACGGATGTCCACTCACAAACGTCTCTTCCAACGGCTCCGACGACGACAACACACCATTAAGCAACCCCACCTTCACACAAGTCAACGCCTACACGCCCTGACAGTTTTACGCGAGCTCAGCAAGCATACACTTTCATCTTTTCAAACATCAACAGCCATCCGCAGCGGCAAATACACTGATCTTGAAATTTACGCTTTCCGTCGAATGGCCGCCAGCTTAGAGGAACCAGATCGATCACGTGTTCTTCACCTTCTCCACTCAGCGCTCAGCTTTCGCAATCTCACTCCACCCAAAGCCAACAAACCCTTTACCATTCCTTTCCTCTCCCACAGTACCTTCTCGTCTTCCACGGAAAAATGGCTTCGCACACTGATCCAACACCACATGCATCACGTCATTCCCTTCCACCCCCCTACTACCAAACTACGCGAAGCAGCACACAAGACTTTGCGTTCCCGGCTCTACAACCACAAACGTTGGGAAGAACTCTTCTCCACACATCCCACAGCAGCTGACATGCCATGCAGCTGCCACCACATGCACACCTTACTTCGTCCCAACCACACACCGCCGCTCTACGATGGTCACTACGTGCTTACACTTGAAGACCTACAGCTCCCCAGCCATCTTGAGCTATTCCTACAAGCCAACATGAACAGCACTTTCTTTCCCACAAAGACGCAATATTTCCAACACTTTGAACAACAACTCACTTACTGGCTACGACACCATGGTCTACCCACTGCCCTCCATCAACACAGCCTACCTTTTCTACACCAACAATGGAAACAGCACATCGACAATCTTCTATACACGCCCCGCTTTACATCCCGCAACGTTACACAGCTTCAACAGTTTCTTACAGACAAGCTGGTACTCCATCATGCTGACCATGAACTACAAAACCTACGACTCTTTTGCCCACAGCACTACTTCCACGGATGTCTCACCACATGGAATACACCACAACTTTTTCTCCCACTACCAGATCTCACAGCCCAACAACTCCACCAATTTCTCACACAATCCTTCCCAGCCAGCATCCGCAAAGCATACCCCTGGGGCTTCCGCGCAAAATTCTACACACCACATGGAGTAGTTTCCTCAAACAAAAGAAATCCTGGCGAAAGGGTAGAACAGTCATCAGCTATTTCAGATCCATCGCAGGCACATTATTACGAGCCACCTCCAAAGCATTAGACATTATGCTCCTTCATCTCCTACCACAACATCCAGGCCAACTATCTATACCCAACCTTTGGCAACACCTCCACAACCATTTCCAGACCACGCCCGAAGACATCCACCTCACACCGATCAACGACGACCTTGTCGGCTTCTTCAACAGCGTACCTCAACAACGCCTTGTCGACGCAGTCATCAGCCTGTGCCACCGCTGGAAAGCACAACGCAACACCACTACCATCACCATCGATGTCCAGTCTACCGGCAATCCCATCCAACACTCACACATCGGTCGCCACTACATCCACCACCCACAGCAACGCACACTTGACACACAACACATTCCTCTTATCGTTCAACAAGCTCTTCACTCATGCATTTTCCAAGCTTGCAACACCTACTACAAACAAATTCAAGGAGCCGGCATTGGCAGTCAGCTCTCACCAGCACTTTGCAATGTGGCAATCACGCTCATCGAACACACTTGGCAAACCACATACCACACCTTCTTACACCAACCAAGCCTTCACTTGCTCAACACTCGCTACGTCGACAACCGATACATCTTGCTCAACGAACAATACAGATCAGCACTCCCCATCACTACATTGGCCCATCCTGAATTTTATGAACAACCAGTTGAAATAGAGCCAGTGGACGACGACCATCTACTCGGTTTCTTGATTGACCCTCTCAACAGAACCGTCACCTTCCAACTCCCACCCATCCCTGGCAGATTCGTGATCCGCAGTCAGCAGGGAGTCACAGACTACGCCTTTCAGGCTTACAATCACGTCACCACACACTACAAAAATACACTTACCCAAAACATCTTGCCCACACGACAGCACAGAAGTTGATGCAGCTATATATGGCCAAAGGCCATTCACCAGCACACTGCGCCGCGGCGCTGCGGCCAAGAGGAAAAAGACTATGTGCCGGCACTTTCGCAGACTGCTGTGATATGTATTTTACAGTATTGAACCTTTCAAAGTCAAGCACTTCCACTATTTATTATCCAGGCCCTACCTGATCCGATCTAGTTGCGCCGATACGGCTCAGTGTGTGTGTCCACTCCTGTTTCCAAGGACACTACTCTAGTTTTTCTAATCTACCCTACCAGCTTTTCTGTACAGAAGCAGGGGGACATGGCGTGCGTTCAGGGACCATGTCCAACGAAGCTACCTGACGCACGGGATATGAGAGCTGATCACTCTCACGTACCTGCAATTTTCCAATTCTTTGAGATTTCTAAGTCAGTGCAACGCCGTCTCATACGTTGTTTCCTGCAGTATCTAGATTTAAAGGGCTAATGCACACCGCGAAGCTACCTGAAATCACGCTCCACGGAGCAACCTTCTCAAGTGTGTGTGTTTGTTTGCGCAAATTTAGTTGACTACCAACAAGTTTCCCCACGGGGTGTCCTTGTAGTTTCGTCCCCGATGTGGGTTCTTCCACTGTGTATGTCTGCGTGTGTGTCATAGACTTTACGTGACCGTACCTGTATATATATTTATATATATAAAACATACATATACACGTTTTTTATATGTATACACATGTCACATTACTTAAAATGTTATTTTTTGGACCGAAGCCTCTGGACATGCGAATGCATTGCGCGCTTTGTGCTAGTTCCAGGTCACAGATGCCTTCGTGCCTGTCAACGGGCGAGGAGGGGACTGCCGCGCGCCGGAAAGCTTCGTGGTCGCGCGTGCCATGTATTTGGTTCCGACGAGGATGCAACAAGGCTACCGCGGTAGAAAGGGTTCCTTTTGTCACAGGATTCCCTTCACCCTTTCTGCGCCCTGCAGCTTCGCTTTGGCCTGGGTGAACTGGAGCAGTGATTGGAAGCTGTTAGAGATTTGACACCTTGAGCACCATGGCGTGAGCGTGCAGAGACTTGATGTCAAACCTGCCGCATACCGACCTTACCCTGAAAAGGGGACTGCCACTGCGCGTGCTACCGCGAACATGGTAGCGGAGCTGATCAATGTATTCCACCTCCACCCCATCGCGCGACGCCATGTCGACTTGGTCACTGGCTGGTTCTTGTCATCATGATGGCAATGGCGTGCGTCGAGGACTACCAGGGCAACATCATGGACGACCAGGAGGACCCAGGGCGAGCTCTTCTACCAGTACATGCTGGACTTCAACGAGGATTGGAACCTCACTGGCGAGAACCTCAATGAGGTGAGACCTTGCATGGACTACTTGAACCTCTCAAGAGTTGGGGATTGGCTCCCGGAGGTCGATGTGGCCTTGGACATCGACAAGTTGGAGACTTCATGAAAGATGATGGAGAGGTGAAGGTCGTGGGTTTTAAGAGCTACTACATCGACTTCAAAGAACTCCTTTCTCAACTTTATGGACCAGTTCCTTCAGGAGGATGACCTCTACCAGGTCTTGAACAAGGTGAACGAGAAGATTGGCTTGAAAGCTCTGTGCTTCTTGTCCTTCCTGGTTGTGGAGTTGAATGGATAATGAGCCGAATGCGCAGGTGCAGAAGACTTCGCTCGAGGAAAGAGATGGTGAAGGACCACTTGGGCTACTACAAGAAGAAATGGAATGGCAGGCTACGTGGACGCTTTGAGAGCAAGTTGCAACTTCGTGGATTGCTTTTCATGACCTTGTGGTGCAACACCTACTATGGCATGGACCAGATGAACCGCATCCTCTCTCAGATGATGACCTTGGCGGACGCAGCGACCACGGCAGCAAGAACTTCCTCATCGGTGATGGAGAAGACGGAGAATAGAAAAGATGGAGGTGGCTTCAGCAGGGCTTCCAAGATCTTACGCCCTCCTGCTTGGATGAACCCTGCCAGCTCTTGGGCTTCGCCAGTGAAAGAAATGGCAAAGAAGCTATATGCCATCCTGGCATCTTACATCAAAGGCCCTGCCTCTCAGATTGTCAGGGCAGCTGCAGGGGAACGCAATGGCTTGTTGGTTTGGCAGCAGCTTCGAGATTTGTACATTCCTCGAGCACGACCTCGAACAATGGCCATTGGTCAAGCGATCATGAGCTACCCCTCCTTCCAGGCCGGCAAGAGCATGCTTGAGAACTTGCTCCAACTGGATCTACTCCTAAATCAATACCAACTAGCCTCAGGACATGCTATGCCTGGCCACGGTTCTTCGTTGCGTCACCCTTGACGACAAGATTGACTACCACACATTGAAGGAGAAATTGACCCTGATGGACAAGAACAGCAAAGCTTGGTCAGGTGATTCCTACTTGAAGACGGTGCAGAATTCCATGAGCTCAAACTCCAATGGACCAGCGCCAATGGATGTTGATCAAGTTGGCCAAGTGTACAAGGGCAAAGACAAAGGAGGCAAGAAAGGCGGCAAAGGCGAGAAAGGTGGTTGGTTCCCTTTTTGGCTACAACGCGGCAAGTATGGCGGCAAGAACTCCAAAGGCAAAGGAAAGAAAGGCAGCAAGGGCAAGAAAGGCAAGAAGGGCAAAGGCAAGTATGGGTGTCGTGGCAAAGGCAAAGGCGGCAATAGCAACACATGCCGTGTTTGTGGACAACAAGGACACTGTGGAAGTGAATGCCCAACAAAGCTCAGACGGTGACGCAACAGAACCTGGCTGAGAGTGAGATTGCAAGCTCAGCTGGTGGAAAGGCACGATCGACAACAGCTTCACCGGTGGCTTCGACCAAGAGAAGAGCAAGAGACACCCATCCTGTATGAGATGCAGAGTGAAGGTGGTGATAGTTGGATCTATGATGATCAATACAAAGTCGGAGCGGTCAGCTTCAGCATGGCCCAAGAGTCGGAGACTGAGGAGAACTTCAATAGCTTCATTGAGGACAAATGGTACTACGACCTGCACGCGAGGCGCTATGTTGTGGAGAACCCGCAACAAAACCAGAACTTTTCCATGCGGGAACGGTGAAGGTGTCCCAAGAGAAGATGTTGATTGTTTTGGATTCTGGCGCTGATTGCAGCGTTCTCCCAAAGGCAATGGCTAGTCGTGGACAACCTCAAGATGGTGGCGGTAAGGCAATTCTAGAAGATGCTCAAGGCACGCAGTTGAAGACCTATGGACGAAAGCTGGCGCAGGTGGAGCGTGATTTGGGCATGGCTGGATCAGTCATCATCAAGGACGACTTCCTTGTTGCTTCTGTTCAAACACCATTGGTGAGCCTTTTTCGACTTCTGCAACGAGGTTGGCGCTTGACTCAGGGCAACTGTGAAGCTGGAGTGAATTTGGTTGCTCCAGACCAGAAATGTGAAATCCCCCTTTACTTCAAGAAGAATAACTTAGCGCTTTATGGATGCATCAACAGAGTCAGTGAGGGACCTGAAGAAGTGCAAGGAGAGATCAATGTGGCCATGGTCAATGCAGATGATAATGAAGTGTTGGTCGTTATGACGGTGGTCAAGCTCAACGACTCCCTATGGGAATTCTACGGTCTGAATGCTTGGCGAACCATGGCCAAAGGCAATCCCATCAACTTCAAGTACCACAGCAAGAACTTCGAGAATGCCCAGTTGATGTGGAACTTGCGTTGGTGGCCTTTGAGATCGACCCTCATTCGACGATGGTGGCGACCGGGAACTAGGAGCACTGCAGTCGCTACTACACACTTCCAGATCCTGAAGCAGAAATCCCTGAGTGCGCTGGTGAAGAAACCAGTTCAATGCTTTGGGACAGTTGTTGGCGAGCGCACAGCTACGGCTGGAGGTGCTAATGTTGAGAGCAGTGATTTCTTTTTGAGCCAGAACATGATTCCGGTGAAGCTTGGGACGGCCCATTGCCAGTGTTCAACAACAGAGCCAATTTGGCGGTGAACGAGATCGACTTGACTGAACACAGCAGCTTGGCAACCCTTCGAAACGCTGCAGAATACTTAGGCATTGGGACCGGTGGTTCGAAGGAGACATTGTGGCACAAGCTCAACCAACAAGTGCAAAAGATCGAACATCAACAGCTCTTTGCTTCAGCAAACAGGTTGTACAAAGAACTAAACAAGCGCAAGGGTCTTGACAACCAAGTCAGCAAGAACGAGAACCTCATGAGTTGGTTCATCTTCCATACCAACCATGGTGTGATGTTTGCGTATCTTGCAAGAGCCGTGCTGATGCCCAGAGATCTCTTGACCTGTCAGAGGAGGAAAGGAGAACGTCTCCCTCGATACAGCTAGACTATGGGTTTGGCAGATCTGAAGGAAAGACCTCGAGCCAGACAGCCTGGTGCTTGTTGGCGTTGACTGCGAGAGCAGAATGTTGTTGGCAATGCCTGTGGAGAGCAAAGGAGCCGACCTTCGAGGACAGGCTGAGCAGGTGACAAAGTTTTCCTTGGCCATGAACCATTATGCTAAACTTGAGCTTGTGGGCGACCGTGAACCCACGATGAAAAGTTTGCTGACCTTGATCAAGACGCTTCGACAAGGCCTTGGACTGGAGACGGTTCTCGCCTTTAGCCAAAAGAAAGGCCAGGCAGACCGTGCGGAAAGGGCGATCCAGACTTTGAGGCGACAGGCTTCAGCTTTGGTGAAGATGGCCGAAGACAGACGCTTGATTTCGCCAGGAGACCATGCTCTATGGAGTTGGGCCTATGTGCACGCAGCGTGGGTGATCAACAGCTTCAGGAATTGGCCTATGGCAGACGCTATGTTGGCAAGGTGGTGTGCTTTGGAGAGTATGTAATGGTCCTGAGTCAACAGCCTGGTTTGAAACAAGGACCTCAATGGATTCCAGGCATCTGGGTTGGCAAGACTGAGGAGGATGACCTTCACATGGCGGTGGCTTCGTCAGGACTTGTTCGTGGAAAGGCTGTGAGACGCACAGGACAGCCATGGAGGTCAGTGTATTTGTTCATGGTGATAGGAACCCAAACGCTTGACGACCTCTTCGATTACTTCCAATGACACCTATGATCCCACGAGGTGTGCGAGGACCTGGCAAAGGACCTGGACCGATGAATCAGGTGGCGGTCCAGCGTATCAAGATGTGCGAGATAAAGATGCTGATGATGTGATGCAGTACGCCCATGATCATCCTGGTGAAACTCCTACAGAGACTCATAGAGAAAGAGGCTCGAAGCATGGTGGGGGAGACAGGACAAAACCGATGAGCCAGGAGCCAAATTTCTTCGAGTACCTCCTCTAACGCCAGAACTCAACATTCCCTCGACTTCGAGTAAGCCAGGAGAGAGGGTGGATGATAGCGTGCAGAATGAGCCCAAGAGCTTGAGAAGGCAGTCCCACTCACTTGTATGCACCTCACTGTGCTGGCAACGGGAACAAGGTGACCGAAGATCCTCGCCCAGTCAATGAGGAGCACTAAAAGACTGAACTTGAAGATTTCATGGCAGAAGAGCTTGAGATGGATTGGGCCACGGTGGGGCTTGAAGCGAGAGAAGGACAACCTCCACAAGTTGATCCTGAGACGATGACAGAGATTGAGGCTGCCGCAGGACAAGAGGAGATCAGCAGACTTCTTGAAATGGGAGTGATGCGAAACCCAACAGCTCATGAATTGGAACAGGGAGAGATCTTGACAACCCGATCATTCCACAATGGCACATGGAAAGAGGAGATGCAGATTTGTTGCCGGAGAGTTCAAGGGTAATGAGGTCTCAACAGCCAAGACTTTCGCGCCGACATCCTCTTTGGCAGCAATTCGGTTGGTGCTAGGGACTCATGTGACCCTGAAATGGCATGATGCATTCCTCTTGGTGGGGCAACTACGTTTGGTGCTGGTTGAACAACCAGAATGGTGGAAAGCAGAAGAGATGGCGCCAGATTTCCCTGGCCAACGTCGATATTGGACCCTCGCCAAACGCTTGCCAGGACAAAGAGACTCAGGCTCAACTTTCCCAGTGACCATCTTCGAGATGAGTTTACCCGTGTACTTTCTCTGTCAGGCATGAAAGCAAGCAGCTTGGTGCAGTCTGCCATGTCGGTGACCTGATCGTGGCTGGACAGCTGGCAGATTTGGAATGGTTGCTGGAGGTGATGAAGAAGAGGTTTGCGCTGAGTGAGTCTGGAACAACAAGATGAACGCCTATTCAGAGAAGGAATTCTTCAAGAAGCTCGAGAACAAGAAGTACGTGACCGACGAAGTGGACGAGGTCTACTCCTTCGAGCCCAGATGTGGTCAGCCAACAAAAGTGAGAGAAGCAGGCATTTTTACACCTGAACTGCTGAAAGAATTTCTGCAGCGCAGGATTGGACAGTTTCGTGGACAGAAAGACCCCAGTGCGAAACTAATTGGGATGAGAACATCCGCAGATATTTTGAGGTCGCACCAACTTTCAGGTGGGGTGTTAGAGTTTTGACACCTTGAGCACCATGGCATGAGCGTACAGAGACTTGATGTCAAAGCTGTAAAACACCGCAAATTCTTCTGCCATGTCATCGAGGGCTTGCTCACAGGTGGCTATTATGTTCTTCAACCGTCGTGTTTCAACGTTTGATTCGCGAGAAGGAAGAGACATTGAGAGACTTTTTCTTCATGTTCCTGAGCTGGTGCCCACCAAATGGACAGTTTGATTTCAGGATCAATACTGCGGCGATGGGCAGTTGTCCTCTGGATGAAGGTCAACGCACTGAATGTTGATTAAATTGATGTTGTTGAACAGTTTTTTCGCTGGTTCTTTTGACTGCTAGAGGTTGGAAGTATGAAGATCTAGATTGGTTCAATTGCACGCTCTTTTTCCAGGAGCTACCATGGGCATTTCGATTCCTCAAGAATATCATTGTGTCGCAAGCGCGCAACTTATTAGCTGGATATTTTGTTTCTTGAACACATCCTTGGTAGATAGTAGAGATTGAACGGGCGTGGTCGGTATAGTTTCAGACAACCAAACATCAAACATATATGACATGTTTCTGATGTTTTTTGTCGCTACTGGAGGGTTGCAGGGTGGCAAGGATTGCACAAGTAACAACAGGTGCTCTCAAACTTTTGATGGAATCATCGAACAATACAGGAACAGTTTCTCCCAACAACAGGCCACAGCAAACGACCACTGCGAGCATTGATGATGTGCGTTTTGTGTTTTCGCAGCTGACAATCACCTTGATGGGAAGAGGGCGGGCTTTACGCCAGTGAGCCCATGTCTCTTATTGCTTGTTGCGTTTGAGGGTGGCGTATCAATCACAAGGGGTTGATTCTGGCGCCTTTGGAGACCGCTAGGATCCACGGGGAACGCGCTATATATAGTGAAAACTGCTCTTAGACCCAACAAATGAGGGTGTGACCCAAGCCACCAAACATCAACGTTTGGATCAAGGCGAAGTGTTTTTACTGCATCCTCCAAACTTTCCTTCGCCCCCTCTCTGTGCAATGCCTGCGTCTAAAGCTGCCTGTGCGCTCCTTCGCTCCCAATTTTGTGGAACCTGCATCGGTGATGACTCTAGCCGTTTGCTTGGCTCTTTAAGCCACTTTGTTCGGTCGCAACATGTGATTCATCAAAACCCCAACTGACTTTGCTGCTGGGGGGAAATTCCAACATGAATCCCTTGACGCGACCAAGTACACATGGAAGAAATGGAGTTTGGCAGCAGAATGAACCCAACTTCCCTTTGAGATGTTCTCCAGTGTACGTTGTTCTGACTCCCCCCAAACCGACCGTTGCTTGAGATGGGTGGACCCTATGGAGGGTCTTATTGCTTGTAGCCCTGGTCGCATCCATTCGCAAACATGGAGGCTCCGGAATCAGGGCTTGTCGCCCAACTTTAGAGCTAGGGTCTGCAGAACTTCGGCTGTGGAGCCATGCCTTGCTTGCAAGATTGCAATGGTTGTTGCGTCTGGGAGGCTGGAATTGAAGAAGCCCGGCGTGAATGGCTCAGAACAAGATCCCTGATGAGGGGCTGAAATGGGATTGGCCTTCAGTTGGCATAGTCTTTAGACCGCCATGGCGGCGAAGCGCGGACTGCTGGCTACGTATACAACAAGAGGTACGAGGAAGGGGGGATTCTCGAGAGCCTCACGATCTTTTGATTACGGATATGGCGATCGCAAGATTGCGCCGGTACGTTATTACGACGTGGCTTTAAGGCGGAATGCGAAAGGTTGTTCTCGCTTTGCCCCGCTACTGTCGTAAATCAGGCTGAAGCCATGGATTGCCGGGCGCACCTTTGCGCGCATCAACCGTGCGGCCAACCCGATGAAGATTGGCTGGATGTGATTGCGTCTGCGGTCATACCGCGAGTTCGCCGCGAATACGACCTCCAATGAAAAGTAGGAGCGCATTAGCCCTTTAATGAAAAGTAGGGTAAACAGCTTGGACAACAGGTGCGCCGATCAGGTCTGGTTTCGCCATCGATTGCAAGTGTCTTCGTTGGCAGGAGACTTGCTAATGGTGCTCGCGCCCTTTTGCTGGTGGAACAGTTGAGAAAGGACATCAGTAGAAGACCCTTAGATACAGGGTGTGACGCACTTAGATCAGGGCTTGCAAGAGCTAAATCAGTTAGTGAAGTCCCAGTGAGATTAGCGCTTTATGTTTACTGCAGATTAGACCTTGGCCTTGGCTGGTGAACCGCAAGGTGGAGGAGTCCGCATCAACAGTATTGTTTAACATGGGTGAGGCGGAGGAGACTCATTAGCCCTTCACGGTGTGCAGGTACACAGTACACAGTCAGACGTCTCTGACCGCTTCTCATGACATCACTAGCTTCATTGGCCAGCGTTATGATGTCATGCGCTGGCCCCCTGCTCTGTACACGTGTAAGTAAACGACAAAATCGAATTAATGCTATTGAGTTCCTTAGTGTGGTCGGTTTCCTTAGAGACAGGATTTGACACACATTTTGAAAAGGGCTCGCAAGAGCAGTATCAGCTTCGAAGTTCCTGAAGTTAGTTACTGACTACCTAGCACTCTAGTTACTGAATACTTAGCCCTTGACTTGAGGGAACGGCAAGAAATGCTGGGTCCGATCAACAGAAGGTTTCAACAAAAAAGCTAGTTACTGACTACTTAGCGGCTCTCAATTAGGTGCAATAGTTAGGGAGCGGGACTTTAGTCTTAGACCGCCCGGGTAGATTAGACTAGAACAGGGACAACAGAAGGAAAGGCGCCGACGCGCGAGTGTGTCCAGTACCATTTCGTTTTGCTGCCCTATATGAGATTAGCAGGTACGTTTGCGGCCCTCACCAGTGGCCTCTTCGGTGGCCATCCACCTGGTGAGGGGGATGGCCCCCTGCTCTGTACATGTATTAAAAAGTTCCTTAGAGACAGGAGGTGACGCGCGCAGAAAGCCGAGTCGGCGCATTCTCTTTTTGCTCTGCGGGAGGGGGGGAAGGTGTGCGTTGACCCAACGAGCCTAAAAGCAAACCTAACAAACCCTGAAGGAAAGAACAAACAAACGTCACATGCGAAGAAAGAAAAGAAAAGGTGCAGGGGTCCGGGGGGGTGTTGGTTGGGCTTGCATTGACTAAACGAGCCTTGAAGGAAAGACCAAGCAAACGAAAAAGGCAAGGAAAGAAAAGAAAAGGCGCAGGGGGTGTGGGGTGGGGGAGGTTGTTGAAATATTGCTCTTGCGAGCCATAGGCCCAAAGGCACTGGCCGAGAAGCCGAAATCGGCGTTCCCTTGATTAAAAGGCTTCAGTTACACCTAAAAAGCCTTTAGAAGCTAAGGAAGACCTAGAAAACGAAGAGCAACAGGAGGAAGGAAAGAACCGAAACGTGAACACTTAGCCGAGTGCCTATGAATACTTAGCAGCGTGACATGTGAGGTGGTACTCAGTGGGCGCTGCGGCATTCGATCAGCATTCTCGCGCAAACCGCTGAATCAGTGGTCTTCGAGGAGTAACGGAATGTTCAGTGAAGGGTCACCCTTAAGGGCATGTGCAAAAAACCATGCCCCTCAGTGGGGATCACGCCGCAGCCCTCAGTGGGACTGCGGCGAGACACACTTTGAAAAGGGCGCGCAAGAGCTGTATCAGCTTCGAAGTTCCAGAAGTTAGTTGCTGACTACCTAGCACTCTAGTTACTGAATACTTAGCCCTTGAAATGCTGGGTCCGACCAACAGAAGGTTTCAACAAAAACTCGTTACTGACTACTTAGCGATTCTTAATTAGGTGCAGTAGTTAGGGAGCGGGACTTTAGTCTTAGACCGCCCGGGTAGATTAGACTAGAACAGGGACAACAGAAGGAAAGGCACCGACGCACAAGTGGGTCGCGTACCATTTCCTTCTGTTAGCCCTGATTAGATTTGCAGGTACGTTTGCAGCCCTCACTCCACCACTGGTGAGAGGGATGGCCCCCTGCTTTGTACATATATTAAAAAGTTCCATAGTTTCTTTTTATTTCTTGCTCCGTCACATACATGCTCACTTCTCTGCAGCTGTTCTTTTGCTTTGGCTCTTACAGTATCTCCTCAATTTACTGGCTCCCACCATGGCGTTACCACTATTCCCTTTCCAACAGATTGCCATTATAACCCTTCCCGTCTCTCTTAGCTTTCAATTCTCCACCAACGCCATGTTCCGCCTGAATTGCCATGGCGCATCATTTTGCAGGTGATCCCGAAGGTCCCGAAGGTGCTTGTATGCCTTCTTGGCAGTCCTTCTTTCCGGAACGTTCCATGGCAATTGTGGATCACCTCCTCGTGTATCTTGGGTTGTCGTGTTTGGTGCTCTCCGTTGATCTCCTGGGGCTGGCGCTCTGGCTTTCCGTCCGTTCTAGACCATCACCCCTTCTTGTGGTTTCCAACCAATGGGGCGAGGTACCGGTTGGGAGGACGGGAAGATGATAGATGCAGCAGCAATAGGAGCATCATCAACATCAACTGGGACTAGGGCAGATTTTGGAGCGACAGGTGACAGATGCCCAAGAAACGCGCATGGAAACGCACAGGTCGAGGCCTGCGTCTTTCCAAACTAAGGAGGAAATACTGAAACTCAAAGGTGAGAATGGGTTGAGGGTGAAGCAGGAATGCGAAAGGTTACGAATACCCGCTCGCATGTGGGAGGAAAGTCATTCAAGACGACGCACATATTTATGTTTAGCCAGTCCCGAAGTGTACCAACCTTTGCATGCTGCGTTTCACTGTGCAAACCGTTCATGACAAAGCGAACCATGGGTATTGGGAGTTCACTCCAGATGGAATTTATGACATCGTGCTTTCTGCATCTGTTCGGGCATTGGCCTTTGCAACTTTTTGTTCATAGACTGTGGTCGCTAGTTTGTTTAGCTTGACATGCGTGCTGCAGAGGTCATGGAGCGAGGACGCCAAGCAGCAGAGATATTGGTGAGGCATCTATTGTCCGACTTGCGAGTCCTTCATGCGCGACAGGCTGGATAGGGCTAGTGGCTAGTTCATGCTTTGACAGCGCTGGCGCCGAAAAAAGAGTCATTGAAGTGGGAGCAGTTGTCAATGGATAGTTTATACAGTAAGTGAAATTTTGCTGTTGCCCTGACGAAGTATTTGTCTGAAAGAAACAAAGGTTCAAGTTCAATCCAAAATGATTGAATCCCATGTCACAGCAAGGTCCTTCAGAAGCAAGGTGATAAACCAGATGGTGTTTTTGCGCAAATCTGTTGTGCACTGATTGTGAGCAGACAGTAGACAGCAAAAACAAAGAGAACATGCGCTAGGCAAGTAGCACGAAGTGGCTGTGTGGCCCTTTTGCAGCAAACATGGAGTCGATGAAAAGATCTCCAACTTTTCTTGTGGGCACCGTGCAGCGCTTCCGGCAGCCTTTTCTTTTGAATAAATGGACCCAAGAGAGTTTTTTTTGTTTCACCGCCCACTTGGGGAGCTCTCAAGCCATCTTTTGCCAGACAAAAAGATATCTTGGGTGAGTTCCAGAGAAGAGAGCAGCACTATACAGAAGAGTGCGCCCAAAATCGGCTGTGAGAGAGGGTTTGTGTCAGTGATAAAGGTTGACTGCCCAAAGGTACTCGAAGAACAAATCACTTTGCTTTAGTGCCAGAGCTTATCAGCAACCGCATCCAGCAAAGGTCAGAATGGGCTACAAGGCCAGTAATCTCACGCATCAATTCTTACTGACCGGATTTGTCAGTATGCTTGGTCATCAGGATGCTGATGCAACCCTTACTTCGCCCATGCTGTTGGGCGTTTGTGACGGTGTTTCCCAGCTGGAGGAACTTGACGAACGGCCCTTGCAGACCTGCATTTACTTGTTAATATTTTTTGTTTCTTGCAAGTCCAGGAGTTTCAAATGGATCCGTCGCTGTTGCCAAATGAGCTGCTCAGAACTTGCGAGGACTTTATGTAACGGGAACGGGTTCGTTTTGGAACACGGGAGATTTGGATCGTTTTGGAGCGCGTGTTTCTTATGCCTTTTCTTTCTCTTGTTCTTGTGATGTGTGATTTTGTGTTTTGTCCTTTCTCCCTTGGTAGGTGGAGTGATTGTAACTTTGAGCCTTTGTGGCCACCCGAAGGAATTTAGAGTAGGAAAGCAAGTTCCATCTTCGAGAATACCTTCTGTGGGCCCTCCCAAACAGCACGCAAACCCTGAAAGAAAAGGAAGAAACCTCCTTTCTGCTCGTTGGAATTATTCCTTCCTTCTCTAGATTTTACCTTTGGGTGGCCCACAGAGGGGGATTGCTTCCTGCTCTAAATTTTGCCGGGCCCACAAAAGGTTGGATCTGCTCCATCCTGCTCTACATGTTAGGATTGGGTTGCCTACAACTGCTACATTGGAATAGCTCTTTCCCTCTCGAAACTTTACGTGTTTAGCAAAGTATTTGGGAGTGTAACAATAGAATGAATCAGAAGGGGAGTTGTGGGAGGGAACACCCTTTGTGGCTCTGTTGGGTTATTTTGGCTCAAGAATTCTTTCGTGGCCCTGGTCAAATTGGAAAGGGCTGCCCTCGGCCAGGTGCCAAGCCTTCAGTTGGATGACCAGCTGGGCTTTTGGCATTTTATCAGCGGAGTGCTTGCGTGTACACTGTTGGTAGGATTCGTGGCCGGGTGGCGCTTTCGTGCCTGGTGGGCTTTGTGGAGGGTCTTATCAAGTATGGTCAGCTTTGCGTTTGGGAACTATCGCACGTATTCCCTAGGCCCTACACAACACCGAACACTCCACCCCCACTACGCTACGGAGGAGGAGATTTGCTGCTTCCAGCCGAACAGCAACGGTGCGCAGGCATTTGGCGTTTGAGGCGTTGGGTGGACCTTCAAAGCTTAGGGACGTGGCTTTCGTCAGCCGCCCTGCTTGGGACTCAGCGGACAAGCCTTGAAGCTTCAGACCACATCAGGTACCAACCGTGCAGAGCGTGAACTTTCTCTTGTGGAGCGAACTAGCATCGAGATCTTCAGGAGAGTTCTGTTCTTGCGGCTTGGTGCTCAGCCTGATCACGCTGGACAAACAGCTCCAACTGTGGCTACGAATGCCAGCTGCTGGCACTCCCACCTCGCCAAGGAGGAAGCTGAAACTGAGCGCAATCATAGACACAACGCTGGATGCAGAAATCCAACAGCTAGATCAGCGGAAGTTGCCAAGATGTTCAGCACCTACAAATCGACGTATATACGGAGATCGCCCGAGTCCAGACGTGGAGCCATCCACAGACAAGCTGTCGGGCATCAACCAAATGCTGAAGTGCAGTGCCCTGCCATACTGCGACTTCAGCGTGTTGGGGCCACACGGATTGAGGCTGCTGAGGAAGGCTGTGTTCACAAGCTACGTATAGAACGTGGCGACGGGTCAAAGCGTGAAGCGCCAGGACAGGATTCAATTTTCAGCTGGGAGCGCTCATATTGGACATTCAAATCTGCAATGCTTTTGCTATGTTGATCGCATCAATGGAGAGCCACGGCCAATTTGGTAGCGAATGCTGGAGAATCATTCGCAAAGCTGATGTGAGAATGTGGTCAGTTCCAAGCTGGACGGTGAGAACCCAGACTTTGGATACACGCTGGCTGCTCCATGGTCGGCGGTATTCGCTCAATCAGTTAAGGTAAGGAGAGCAAGGGAGGTTGTGACCCCGGCCACACTCCTCCTATAGCCAGGAACAAATCAAGACAAGACGAAGAATCCTCCGAATCGGGACCTGGCGGACACATGGGCTCAGCAACGAACTCCAAGAAGAAGAAGAGAAGAAAAGAAGAGAAGAAGAGAAGAAGAGGAGAAGAGGAGAAGAGGAGAAGAGGAGAAGAGGAAGAGGAAGAGGAAGAGCAACAGGAAGTACGGAGGAGAGGACCTGTCACAATGGGACCCAACTTCGAATTCCTACCCCCTCAACAGAAAGGGCATCCAGATATGCCAAAGGTTCAACAAACGACAGTGCGGCATGGGAAGGCAAAGCCTAGACGTGCCAACAATCGTAGCCACCAGTGCGACCTATGCCTGCGCCCACACGTAAGCTGAGAGGGAGGAAACTCCATTCTGACTACGGCAAAGAGCGCGCCTTCGAGCATCGTATTGGAACCGAAGAAAGCTGCTTCAGCCATCGACAAGATGGCAAAGTCGAGGATTATGGCGGTATAAGGGGAAAGAAAGACGAAGAAGCCGCTCACCGACTCCCATCAAAAGGGCCTTTGTGGATCACAGCAAATCCAGAGCTCCGACCAATTGCAACCACGGTGCTTGTTGGTGTTCAGTGGAAGACACTGAGCTGGAGACTGGTGGACCGTGTATCCCCCTTTCCGTGCGATGTTTGTCGCCCGATCCACTGAAGTTCATCATCTCTGACGCCGAAAAAGGCGTGTATGACGTGGTGGGATGTGCGACGCCCTGTGAGACATTGCCTCCTTTGAAAGAGGCCCCAGCGGGTCAGCGACCTTTCAGATCCCCAGACAGTCCGGATTGGTTGCCTCAAGAAGAACTCACAGAATCAGAGGTGAAGCAGCTCAAAGACGCTGACAGGATGATATTGTCAGCGCGGCTGGGGGAAATCCGAGCACTGGCAGGCTTGTGGATTGAAAACCCAGGCCACTCCCAGCCTAACTTCGCTAGGGTACAGGCCGCAGTGAACGTACACAGGCTGTGGAAATGCAGCATTCCACACAGGGCCGAGTCAATGCCAGAAGGCCCGGAAGTCTTCGGCCCTCAGCTGCAGGATAGAGCTCAGCAACGTGACTTGAATGAAGCTGCAATCGGGGACATGAGAAATGCAAAGAAGTCAGCCTTGATGGTTCCACAGTCTATTCAGGCGGGTTCTGCAGTGAGGGAATTGCTAATGGAGGCGAACTCCCTTCCTCGGTTCAGAAACAAGTCGCCGAATTATTAGAAGGAAAAGGATCGCAACATCGCAACCCTTGCACTCCTCACTCTTCAAGCACCTTTCAACGCCGATTGTAAAGGTGTTGGGCGCTGACATGCGTGGGCTACCACCACGAACAGCAGTTGCGCCCACTCCACTTCAACCGGGCATGGGGACCGGCCACGGGGGATTCGGACTCAACTGGTTATGCACCGGGGCTCCATTGGGATTGTCGGAACTCCAAACACTGGCATCTTTCCACCCGTTAGGTCAGAGAAGTGGGACACAGAAGGAGCCAAACTTCTTGCTAGAGAAATTGAGGGCTGGCAACTCATCCAAGAAGTCCCTGGACAAGGGTTTTGGAAGGTTTGTCCCAGTCCGTCGATGATGCAACAAAGAAAGTTACATTCAACAAGTTAGGAGTCATCAAAGAGAGGGCCAGTAGAATCAGCGGGAAAACCAGAATTATCTGGGACCTTCGTGAAAGTGGTGTCTGTGTCCGAAAGTGAGTGACGCGGTCAGCGATGCACTAGACGCATTCAAAAACAGGGTATTCCATCACGATGTCAGGGAAGCCTTTCACAACATACCTGCAGGAAAGGTCAGGGCCTGCACCTCTGGTGTGGTTATCCTTGAAGGCAAACAGCTTGTTGTCACCTTTGACCAACGTTCTGGGCGCAGCGTGGCTTGGCCGCACCATGGCCGCTGTTAACCCTGAAATACTCATACTCAAGTAGTAAATGTCGACGACCTAATCATGGTGTTCAACTCAAATTCCAACGAACACATCGGAATGGCTCTGCTTTGGCAGCAACCACAGGCTTCCCCATCAAATTGGAGAAAGCTAAGGCAGGCAGCAACGTTCAGTGGATTGGAGCAGAAACCATACGAAAGAGGCCCGTCTTCGGTCAAAAACAGCTACAATCAGCCGCTGGAGAGCTATTGGTAGCGGGCATACCGCTGATGAGACCCTGTTTGAGCTCGCTGTTGGCAGTGTTGCCACAACGAATGACGGTTTAAATTTAAGGGCCAGAAATGTTGCGCGCGTTCGCCGCATTGGGATCGCTCTGGATTGGATCAAAGCATTGCTAAGTGGAAACCGCACTCTGCTTGTACTTGTCTTGCACACCTTCCGGAAGACCTCGGGAGTGATCATCCTGATGCCTCCACTTGGGGTCTATAGGGCTGTTATGATGCTACGTGGTGAGCCAACAGAACACTTGTCCCGGCGTTCCAGCTGGAGCGAATTGGCCCTCCTCCCTTACCCTCTCGCTCCCCTCCTCCTCTCTCCCCTCTCCCTGACGGCCACTCTCTAACGTTGCTTTTGGAGATGTAGAGCAACAGGTTCGGAACCTCGTAGCAGCAGGTGCCGGGCAAGGCCTATAGGTGATGGCCAAAAGCATATCCTATGTCCTGCTGAGCAACTGAGGCCATGAAAAGCTGAGCGCCTGAGGCCATGAAAAGCTGGCAAAGCCTTTGCTCGCGCCACCGCAGGCCCAATGCCAATCGCTTCACCCTGCGGTGTGTCAGGCGCCGCCCTGCCTAGGCATCAGCTAGGCCGGGGTTGGCGGAAAATGGTCCTAATCGTGCGTCCCAAAATGATCGAATGTAGTTCTTGCCAAGCAAGGGTTTGACATTTCGTGGAAAGAGTCGGGTGAGCGTGAGTTATGTGCATGTGGCTCGCACCACTTAGTCACATTTTTTAAAGCACTCGGCGCCCTTCAAAAGTTTGTCCGCAGCTGCAGCTGCGCCCTTCAAACGTATTTACAATGTGTGGCTCCGTGGCAGTTGTGGCGCCAGCTCTGCGCAAACATGTCAGAGCCTCATGAAGGGTCGTTACCATTCAGTCTTTGCGTCTCCCATCCTACACATCTCACATTTGGCATCTTCGCATCTGCGTCTCTCATATCTTCACATCCTACACCCACGCGTTTTCTCTCTTTGTCGCATTTTGACATCTGGTCTCTTCTTTGACCTCTCTCTCTCTCTCCCTCTCTCTCTCTCTCAGGGGAGGGCGGCGGACAAGAGTGGTGAAAAATGTGAAACCGTCGACGAGCGCGAAGTTGTCGCCAAAAATGAAGCTTGGATGGCCATTGTTGCCGACATTGGATGTATATGTAAATAAACTACACACCAGTGACTTAGGACTTGTCGGGCGTATGCCAAAAAGTCAATGTCCCATCTCATGAAGAAAAGTACTTTTTGACCATTGTTTGGTCCACAACTCCTATCTCATAAAGCCTAGCAAGCCCAAACAGGAACGCTCTTGAGTTTTTTGTTAAACCAAAATGGTGTGCCCAGGGCATGTGTGGCCGGATGCCAACACATGAGATAGGACTTGTGCTGCTACCAGTCCATGTCCTAGCATGTCCTTGTCAACCAGCAGACTGGCATCCAAAAGCACAAGCATGGCTGATGATCTTTTTGTATATATACATGTATAAATGAAAATCTTTACACATGGCGATTCACGTTAGACATTCTGGAGAGAATAGCTTGCACCTGCGCAGGCTTTCAAGTTTTTCATTACCCGTGCAACACCCGCGACTGAAGGTTCTAAGTAGGTCTGTGCCAAGGTTCCAAGCCTGGGATTTCCAGCCAATCGGTTCTAAGTGACACCTGGGTTCTACTTGTGCAGTTTTTCATTTTGGACAATTTGGGTTCTAAATATGTGTCCATCAGTACACGTGCAGAATGTTTTTGTAAACAGGATGGTGTTGGTCTTCATAAGCACGATAATTGAAAACCATAGCAGTTGCAAAGCAAGGCCAATACTTTTTGACGCTGCTTCTCAGCGCAACACGTTTGCAGCCTCATGTCACTCCACATATGACATGCCTGTCCCGTTTGTGTGATGCAAAAGCCATGAAAGCATGTATGATGTTGCTTACATACTATGATGCGTTCGAATTGATGCCTGCGAACACAGCAGTCTTGCTATTTTCAAAACGACTTGGCAAAAACAAAACAACGAATAGGCACTGCAGCAAACTTAAACAGCAAAGCAGAACTCTTGTGTCGCAGTTTTTGATAGAGGGGTGATTTCGCGTGTGAACCTCGGCACACAAAGGCGTTCATGGAAACAAAGCAGTGCTGCCTTTGACAAACATGATCTGACAAAATCATAGCAACCGCACCGACACCCAAGTGCCCATGCAGTTCCAAAGAAATGCAAATCAGCACCTGCAACGACATCGCCTGCATTGACAAACCTTCACTGACGTCCTGTCAACAGTGCCTGCGCCACAACACTCACTTGCGCCGAGACCTTTCTCCAAAGTGTACAGGTGGAGTTTGTGACAGCATCATCGAAGCCAGTACCCCTGTCTCAGCATGGTCTCAAGACCAGAAACTTCACGCGAGTTATCGGTGAACAGTGAACATTTGGTGAGAGCCTACTGGGCTGATGTTTGGAAGCGGTACAGATCCTAAGAGTTCAAGGCTGCAAAGGAGACAGCGTCAACTGATTGATGATGGTTCGTCAATGACTTGCTTTCACCTATTCCTGGATGCAAAGCTGTTTCCCACGTTGGCTGTACCCTGCCATCCGTGAAACGGTGGATTTAGGAGGCTTGGCATCCCATGCCAGCCAGCAGTGAAATCGGGCAACGTTTGGCGTTTTGGTGTCGCATCAGAACACTAGAATATGAATTTTATACATGTATACTACTTATAATGTTTTAAAGGTCGCAGCTTGCTTTCGCTTTCGCTTCACTCCAGAAGTCCGTCATAAGGGTTCTCCTCCTGAAGGCCCTCTGGATAAGTTTTGTGCAACTTTGGAGCAGATTATATAGACATATTGGGATAAAGACCGCTTACGACAGACAGCCCATGATACCTTCTCCTGGTGCTTTCCAGGAGCGTGTTCAATTGCTGCTGGAAATTTCTCCCAGTTCTTTGTACCTTCATCCCTGCAGATGCAAAGCGTGTATGCATTGATACTTATAAGAGGCATGTAGCGGCCTTTGGGGCAGATGCAACACGGCCATGCTGACCAATGCGAGATTGCGCGTTCCCTTTGCCAACATAGTTTGTTCCTGAGTCCCTTTTTGCCATCACATTGCAACCCTATGTTTTTGCAGAGGAGCAAGGACGCTACTAGTAGCTCCTGGCATTTTACTACTAGTAACAAGAAGCTGCTAGGAACAAAGGGCATCGCTACTAGGTGTGCCAAGTCTGTTGAGCCCAAGCGTGAGAGGGTTCCCATTCATGGTCCATACGTCTACGTGGCATCTGTGTAGAGGCTCAGTACAAGTGCCCCAGAGGCCTTGAAGGGGGTCTATAGGCATGATATGTGGGTGTCAAGGTGGTTGTTGGGACTGGTTCGGCAGCACAGTCCAGTCGGCTTTGAGCGTCCCCAAGAGTCAAGCCTGGTCTTGCAGAGAAGCCAAAGAACTATACAAATTGACTTACACCTTTTGGTTTTGAAACATCGGGGGAAAGTTGTTGCGGGTCTTGGGCCACTTGGGGGCTTGCTGCACTTGCTTGCTGTAGCAGGAACTAGCTATGCTGCAGTTGATGCCAGACACGAACACTTCGCCGCAAGACCAGTGACTCGCTCAGACGACAGCCCACATAGGAAACTCTTGCCGATTAAACAAGGGATGCTCCGGCTGAACCGCGTGGTGCAGACACCCAGTTCAACCCAACATGCAGCCAAGGTATAGAGGTCCAATATCTCTTCTGAAAGAAGCGACACTTGTCTCTGGTTATGCTGTTGGTCATGGCAACATGTCAGAGTGTTTTTGACCAGATTGATTTTCATGTTCCACTGGCAAATACATCTTCTTCACGAGAGCAAGGTACCAGGAAACCACAAGCTTTGGGTTCGGAGGCTCAGCTATGATGTGCCAAGTTTGGAAGACATTGGGTCATCCACCTAAGGTCCACCACTGTCTTACTTGCGGCCCTTGACAACAGCACCAGAATCCATGGAAAGGCGTCAGTTTCCAACAAGCTCGGTAGTCCAAATGACAAGTGAGTTTGCTGTTGTGACCTGTGAGTTGCATCCAATGATTGCGGTGCTCTCGATTGGAGACTGCGAGTTGCTGATGCTGTGCCTGCCTGAGTTCTGATGCAGAGAGAGAGGGAGAGAGAGTGAGTTTACGGTGTCACAGTGTGTTCACAGCTAGACCCTTACGCAGGAGACGAACGAATGGTCGACAATCAGAACTAGAGGTGCTTCCACTGGCTGGATTTGCACGCCATGCAGTTCTTGCTGTGGGACAGGTGTCAAGATGAACGGGTTTCTCCCAACATCCTGAGACGACAGAATGAACCACATTATGAAAGAGAATTCCTTTGAGACATTGCATATTTTTTTGGCAAAGCGATGTCCAAAGCGTGGCTTAACTAAGCCATGCCTAGCAGAACAGCGCATTACGCAGTGCGGTCAACAGATCAGGCTACTCCAACCGGGGAGCTGCGCAGGGGCGCACAATCATTGGCCGAACCATGACAGCCCAGATACATCGCTCCAACCATGACAGACTACCCCGACATAGCCCTCCGGCTAATCTGCCTTTGCTGGAGCATTCCCTCAGCAATTATAGAATATATATTATGTATATATATATATGTATATATATATATTTATGTATATGCGGAATGCTTCAATCATGTGGCTGCTTCACGCAATTCAATTCTGCAAGGCCGCCGGGTCCTGTAAATCTGGCCAATCAGCCCCTTAAAATGCAACCACTTTCCGGATTTGATTTGTGATAAATCTTGACCTTCTAACTTGGTGAAGTCGTTTTGGCTCTTAGGTCTTGTCGCTATTTCAGGTCACCCTTCTGTCTCTTCTTCCTGCAAGCCTTGCCGGGGTTCCAGGCACCCACACGCTCGGGATGAAAGTCGTACAACCTAGATATGTCACCTGGCCTCGGCAAGCCAAGAGTGGTGCAAATGGAGTCAAACCAACGTGGCTCGGCAAGCTCAACATCTCAAAGCTCAACGCTCAAAAGGCATCCGAAGGCTGCAGCAGTTCAGGCTCTAAATTGGAAGTTTTGGAAACTGATACTTTTGGGCATGACAGAGTGCCGAATGCCCGTAGGTTTTGGAGCTGAAGCGCCCCTTTTCAAGCTCCCTGGGTGGGCGCGGCCATGGTGCGGTGGCGGTGGGCATGGTTGGGCCTCGTGTGGCTCACTGGCTCAGGCGAAGGTTGGTGGTACGTGCCGGAGGAGGATCCACCAGCCCAAAACTTGACATGGTGGGAAAGGCCTTTGCTGTGCTTTCAGCGGCAGCTCAACAGCACCAAGGTATCGGTCCAGGACCGGGTTTCGACTTTGACGAGCTGGGACAGCGCTGTTTGGATGGTCCTGGACACGCTGCTGAGCGGAGTTGGCTGGTTGGTGTTCGGCCAAAGCTGGCATAGTGTGAGGACGGGTTGCTCGTTGATCTTGAGCATCGCGGTGCTCATGGTAGTGTGCCTGGTCCTGCACTACTTCCTTTCGCTGGCTTGGCCTTTGTGCTCGCTCTTCATCGGCACGGTCCTCACCTTGGTCTGGCTGGTTAGAGCATGTGTCCGATGCGACAAGATGACGACGACCGTGCGCATCTGCCGTTGAAGAACCGCAGCAATGGCTGGATGATTGTTCTGATTGCAACCAGGGACCAAAAGGAAATGCACTTTACCACTCGAGCAGGTACGTGATCCCAGCGTCCCAGGATCATATCAGCCATGGAACGCAGCCCTCTTCGTTGGACAATCAACTGCATCCATGGGGTTGTCCCCTGCTGTAAAGAACTAGGTAGAAATAAATCAAATATTCCCTGTGATTCCAAGGGGCTCACACTTATTCTTGTGAAGAGTTCATACGACATGGGGTCAGCCACACGAAGAAACCTGAGTGGAAAAGGGCATCTGAGTAAAACAATCTCCACAACGTCCTGAACTTCAAGCTCCATCAGTTGAAATGCAAGTTGCGCAACTCACAGCGTCATGAACTGCAAATGACGCAGGTTCAGTTGCCAGTGTCAGAAGACCCTGAACGTAAAGTTCCACAATTTGAAATTCAAGTTCCACAACACCATGAATTCGCAATGGCTCTTGACAGCAAACCGGCGCCAAGGACCACGTCTTGTTGTATATAGTTGCAAGCAGGGACCCAGGCCTAAGTAGCCATTCAAAACGCAGGTGCGTTTGCAGCGCCCCACAACCAGGCTCTTCATTGGCCATTCCCTGGTGGGTGGAGTGGTTCCTGCTACAAACATTTGCAGAAGATAGACACACACTCGGTACATTGTGTGCTGAATTGAACGCTGTTTGCCGCACACCAGCCCAAGTAAACGCCTAAGAAAGCCAGGGTGGAAATTCCTGAAAGGAACGTTGTATAGCTGCATTCCTATCTGACAATACTTGACAGGAGTTGCATAGAGTCGCATTCAAATGCAAAAATCTTGACGGAGTTGCGCAGAGTTGCGTTCGCGCGCAAAATTTGTGAATGGCGTTGCGCAGAGTTGCGTTCAAGTGCAAAATTCTTGAAGGAGTTGCGCAGACTTGTGTGTGAGTGGTGGCGACATGCTTCTAGGACAGTGCAGGAAAGTGTTCGGCTCCAAGACTGTCAGCTGCTCGTCGACATTAACCATATATAGGGCAGACCTCCGGCAGCGGTCGCTGCGAGAAGCGCAAGAAGGTCTGGCCATCCGTCGCCAAGGTGGGATTAAAGGTTGCAGGTGTGCCTTGGACGTGTGGATGGTTGCAAGGATGCCGCAGGAAGGAGGGAAGGAAGGACGGAAGGGCGGAAGGACGGAAGGACGGACGGACGGACGGACGGAAGGAAGGAAGGAAAGTGTCAGAGGGCCCTGAACATAAAGTTCCACAATTTGATCTGCAAGTTCACAACGTCATGAATTTGCAATAGCTCTTGACAGCAAACCGGTGCAAAGGACGACGTCTTGGCAGGGGCGCAGGAGCAAGCAGCCAGCGCCGCGCAGCCAGGCTCTTTGTTGGCCATTCCTGGTGGGCGGAGCAGCCCATTCGCAACAAGAAGGCCAATTGGTTCCCTGTCATTCCAAGGGCTCCACACACAGAAGACACACGCTGTTGAAAAGAGGGGTGGTGTGAACCATTCGTGTGATGTGGCGTCGCGATCTCAGTTCTTCTTGGCATGGACTTGTTTGTCTCCTGATCGCTCTCGTTGTGGATCTGGGGCAGCCGTGTGTAGGCATCGGATAAGGATAGTCGAGGGCCGGTGGGCGCGCTAGTGTCAAATCATTGTATACGGCCTCGCGAAGCGCCCGTGAATGCAGAAGGTGGGTGCGTGGATGGTGCCGCCGACGGCCTTGCAGCAAAGCAGGACAATTTTTTGGCTTGACTGCAAGCGTGCAGCTTTGCCCAGAGACTGTCGGTCGAAGGGCTCTTGGCCTGTTTGTCTCAGGCATGTGACGCCAGCTTTGTCACGTATGTGCCCTCTACGGGCCCCTATGGATGATCGACTACTTGGTTCTTTTTATCGCAGTTTGTTTCGTGTTTTGTCCCCTTGGTTTCAAACGCTGTGCCTGCTCAACAAAGGTTGCCAACAGGGTGTTCTTCTCTTCTTCATGTTTTGTTTCCATAGTTGCGTCCTGATCTACCCCCTGCAGATCAACATGAACCCTCGAAAAAAGAACCATTGGGTTGTAGAGGAAACTGGTCTCCCACCCGGTGATTTTCAGGGTCCATGTTAGTCACGAGGGGTAATTCATTCATATTCACATATATATATATATATGTTAATATACATATATGTATCATCAATTTCTCACTCAGCTCTGATTTGCATTTTGCAAGTCATCAGTTTCATTGGATTGCGCAACATAGTCGTCGCCTCAACGGTGTTAGCGAAGAGTCGTGTAAGGGCACTGGGCGGCAGGGGTGGGGAGTGGTAACGGTTACAGCATCAGGCGGGTTCCAAAACAATCTCATCGATTTCACATCGAACCACAAGATTGCCATTTGTCATTTGTTTCACAACATTGCTTTGCCTGAAAGAACTTCTGTAGTCTGACAAACTCTATACACAGATTACGTTGATGCAAAAATGAATCGTTAAGGTGATTCACGGCTGACTGGTGTGAATTGGGCCAAGACCATGCGGGGCTGAAGTGAAAAGACACATGTCACATGTCTATGACTTTGCACCTTTCCAAGTGAAACCCAGTGGCCTTACCAGCTTTTTGCGGCATGTTTTGGCCGTTGTCCGGTTGTGTTTGTTTTTTGGCCATTGACGGTAAAATTTTCTTGCGCTGTTAAGTTGCCTCTTGGATGTCCAGAAGTTCCAATGTGTTGGGTGGACTGGGGATGGATAGGGTGATGCTCGCCAAATTTTTATTGGCCAAAGGACTCAAAATCCCACGCCGGTTTGGAACGTGTAACTTGCAACTTGATCTTGATTTCGTGCGACAGCGCAGGGCATTCTCGGCATTGCGTAGCTTTTTGCTTGCTTTCTTTGCCGCGGCAACACAGTTTCCATTTCTGATCGTGCAACCCTTCGAAACCTACGGCAGTGGTCACCGTCCTTCCAATTGATTTGCCAGGCAGTCTTCCATACAGAAATGCAGCGCATTGACTACAACGTGCAAACTCCACTTCAATTGGCCCGGGTTGACGAGCGGATTGATGAGGACAGCGGGCAGTGGATCGTTCTTGGGTTCTTTGATCAATACGTTTTGTGTGCAGTTCTTGGCCGCCTGAGGCCATGCTTGTAAGCAAAGAACACTGTTTTCATTTTGTTGCTTCGCGCCGCGAAAGCTAGTGCTAGCTGAGTTCTTCTTTGCTTTAGCGTAGCAATATTGTATTGGGAGGAGCTTCGTGCCTCAAAGCCTTATATCTCAGGTCCAGATATATCAGGCCAACCCTCTCCCCCTCGGTTCTTAATATATATTCTTGACAGCGCTGCTCTTTTGCGCCGTTTTGCGCGCAATAGACTAGCTCCGTCTGCGCAGCCCTTTCAAAATTGACTAAAAACCAGGGTCGCGGCGGCAAAATTATGTGAATTTTGAAAGGTCATCCTATACAAAGCATTTCCCGGGCAAGCCGGCGGGTTTCCTATAAGAATTATAGGGCCCGATAACCGCACATGTTAGCAACTTAGCAAGAGAGAATGTCTGCGTAGGTGGTTGGTGATAGTTGGTGGGTGGCAATGGGTTGGTGTGACAATTGATTGACGACAATTGGTTGAGGACCATGTTTTAAAGCATACAGCCCCTCAAAAAAAACCCTTTCAGAAGGGCAGAAACCCACCAGCGCCGGCCAGCGCCAGCCAGCGCCGGGCCCGACCCCCTGGAGAAGAAAATTGGTTGATGACAATTGGTTGGCGACAATTAGTTCATGACAATTGGTTGGTGGAAATTTGTTGTTGACAGTTGGTTGGTGACAATTGGTTGGTGACAATTAGTTGGTGGCAATTGGTTGGTGACAATTGGTGGGTGGCAATTTGTTGGTGACAATTTGTTGGTGACAGTTGGTTGATGACAATCGGTTGATGACAATTGGTGACAATGATAGTTGGTGGCAATTGGTTGGTGACAATTGGTGAGTGGCAATTTGTTGGTGACAGTTTGTTGGTGACAATTGGTTGGCGACAGTTGGTTGGTGTCAATTGGTTGGTGACAATTGGTGGGTGGCAATTTGTTGGCAACAAGTGGTTGGTGACAATTGGTTGGTGACAACTGGTTGATGACAATCGGTTGATGACAATTGGTTGGTGAACATTAGTTGGTGGCAATTGGTTGGTGACAATTGGTGGGTGGTAATTTGTTGGTGAAATTTGGTTGGTGACAGTTGGTTGGTGGCAACTGGTTGGCGACAATTAGTTGGTGGCAACTGGTTGGTGACAATCGGTGGGTGACAGTTGGTGGGTGGCAATTGGTTGGTGACAATTGGTTGATGACAATCGGTTGATGACAATTGGTTGGTGACAACTGTTGGTGGCAATTGGTTGGTGGCAAGCGGGAGGCGGGAGATCTTGGACTTATGTTGGCCCATCTTGGGGCTATGCTAACCCATCTTGGACCTATCTTGGGGGCCTCTGTTGGCCAATCTTGAGGTACATTTGGCGCCGTTTGCGTTGACGCGGGCCCATCGCCAAACAAAATCCGATTATGCACGTCCGCGCGGCGCGCGTGACCAAGTTTTTGCATTTCGCCACTGTCCAAATTTTGGATCTTCCACGCCCACAAAACCTTGTAAAACACTGTTTTTGAACACCACGCGCGCAAATCACAGCGGCGCAGCGGCGGAGACGTGCCAGCGCCAGCCAGCGCCAGGGCGTACATCCGACCCCCTGGAGAAGACAATTGGCAAGCAAGTCATCGGTTGATGACAATTGGGTGGTGACAATTCGTGGATGGCAATTGGTTGATGACAATTGATGACATGACAATTGGTTGGTGACAATTGGTTGATGACGATTGGTTGATGACAATTGGTTGATGACCATTGGTTGGTGACAATTGGTTGGTGAAAATGTGTGGTTGCCACTTGGTTGGTGACAATTGGTTGGTTGGTGACAATTTTTGGTGACAATCTGTTGGTGAGTGGTTGGTGAGAAGCGAGAGGCGTGAGGAGGCGGCGGCGCGAGCGGATACCACACTAAAAACAAAAACCCGATACGTCAATGTGGGGAACAATTTGACCTATTATAGCTCTGCGTCCGGAGTGTCCCTTCGCACACGCCCTGCGGTCTGCGACCAAACAGTCATCCAATCATCGCTCCCGCACCCCTGTCACACGCCGCCTGGCCGCCCAGAAAGACGCACTTCTGGGCATGGTGATGACGGTGGGGGCGATGGTGATGATGACGCTGGTGATTGTGATGACTACACCGATGATGATGATGATGATGATGATGATGGTCATGATGTTTATGATGGTGAGCAAGGTGATGCTGGTGATTCCGATGACGATGACGATGATGGCTTGCTTCCTTGCCTTCCTTGCTTGCCTTGCTTGCCTTCCTTGCTTGCTTCCCTTCCTTGCTTGCTGGCGTTCCTTGCTTGCTTGCCTTCCTTGCTGGCTGGCCTTCCTTCTTTGAAGGCTTGCCTTCCTTCCTCCCTTCCTTCCTTGCTTGCTTCCTTGCTTGCTTGCTTGCTTCCTTCCTGCCTGCCTTCCTTCCTTCCTTCCTTCCTTGAATTCCTTGCCTTCCTTGCCTTCCTTGCGTTCCTTGCCTGCCTTGCCTTCCTTGCCTTCCTTGCCTTCCGTACCTTCCTTGCCTTGCTTGACGTGCTTACCTTGCTTGCCTTGCTTGCTTGCTTGCTTGCTTGCTGGCTGGCTGGCTGGCTGGCTGCCTTGCCTTGCCTTGCCTTGCCTTGCCTTGCCTTGCCCGCCGCGCTTGCCTTGCTAGCCTTGCTAGCCTTGCTGGCCTTGCTTGCTTGCTTTGCTTTGCTTTGCTTTGCTTGCTTTGCTTGCTTGGCTTGGCTTGCTTGCTTGCCGGCTGGCTCGTTGGCTGGCTGGCTGGCTGGCTTGCTGGCTGGCTGGCTGGCTGGCTGGCTTGCTTGCTTGCTTGCTTGCTTGCTTGCTTGCTTGCTTGTCTTCCTTCCTTTCTTCTTTCCTTCCTTCCTGGCTGGCTGGCTTGCTGGTTTGCTGCGGCTGCCTTTGGTACTGCCTGCTACCTGCTGCTGCTGCTCCTCCTCCTCCTCCTCTTCCCCTGCTGCCTGCTGGCGGCTGCTGCTGCTGCTGCTGCGGCTGCCTGCTGCCGCTGCTTGCTGCTGCTTGGCGCTGCTTTGCTCCTGCTTGGTACTGCGCTGCTGCTGCTGGTGCTGGTGCTGGTGCTGGTGCTGGTGGTGGTGCTGCTGCTGCTGCGCTATTCTATGCTATACTATGCTAAGCTAATCTAAGCTAAGCTAGGCTAAGCTCCGTACCGTTCGTCCACCTCCTTCGCCTTATGTAAAGTGGACATTCCGTTCATAATATATGTCTACACCCACTTGATCCCACTTCATTGAAATCTCGATGACAAGTGGACGCAAGGATTGAGATTTGACCTCAACGACCGCAGCGGTAGAAAACCGCCAGTGTGCTTCCGCTAGCTTTCGACCTCCTCCCCTTGGCCTCAAATTTTTCACTCAAATTGATACATCTTGATAGAACATCCACGTCTCCTGGTTATGACATTTCTTTCAGCGTGTTGATGTGTCAATGTCCAATAGGAGTTTGACGAGTCCATCGCTCTGGAGGCTGACAGCATTGCAGCTGGACTTGTGAGACCATGCTGTTTTTGCTGAGTCAGCATGTCCTGGGTGACTTTGCAGGTCTGCATGTTTCTTCTCATTCCTGTTTCATCTTTCTCTCACCTTCAAGTTTCGGCTCATTCTGCGAACGCCTCATTCTGAGTCTTTGAGCCACGAAGCTGGCTTTGGTCTCAGCCCACAGGGTTGAGAGGACCAAAACTGTACCAGCAGGAAGTGCTGCTCTTTCACATCCAACGATGTGCCGGTTGTAGGCCACACATTTTGGAGAAGAATGCGTTTCTCTCTCTATACAGTTGGGTTTCAATTCCTGAACCGAGGTCACAATGATGAAAGGATTTGCATTCAAAATCCTTGCCCCCAAGGACATCACTGGCGTTGCTTGTTGAGCAGTCGCTTGAGTCAAGCCAACACGAACCATTTGATCAGATTTGAGCACAACTGGAGGGTTGAGGCAAAATGATGGTCGCTGCTTTGTCCAATGTCTTGCTTGATCTGGCTCTTTCTCATTTCACAGCAAAGGTTTTGAACATGATTGGTGTTCATCCCGCAGTGGTGCAAGAGAACATCGAGAGGCTGTGGATGGCTGCTTTGCGATCAGAACAGTCGGCTAACCTTTGTGATGTCAGTTGCGGGATTGCTGGCGTCATCGCATGGAACTCTTTGAAATCCATTTGATCCAGGACTTAGGTCTTAGGCCCGACGGTGTTCTTGGGCACCCGTGGCTGCTAAACTTTCATCTAGACTCTAGACTCTAGAGATTCTGTCTAATTATTGTTGGTCCCTCGATTTTTTGTCTATTCAAGTGCGAGCTGCATGCTGCAATCTTCCCAGCAGCTTAGCATTCTCAGCTATGAGTCAGCCATGACTGCCACATGATGCGAGTCAGCCATGTCAGCCACCTGAGCCGTTTATACATATTGCTTGCCAGCTTCTCGACGTCTGGCGTTTCTGCTTGCTACTCCAGAGCCTGGACTTGGCCGCTCTATCCTTCCTCAAGACGCCTGGGTATTTACTGTACTTGCATGAATGCAGGGAGCGCACTTAGTGTCTAGTGGTTTGAGCAGCCGCGCGTTCTCTTCGTGGCTCGGTGTCGGGAACTTTGGGTTGGTGAGTGAATTCAGCAATTGTTCTTGTGATAAGAGAACACGGCTGAACCGCGGCTAATGCATTGAGGCAATTCATCCATATCCTCATCCAAAAGCGATAGCCAACCTCACCCACTGATCCCTACGTGCTCCCACACAGTTATCCCTTGGATCCTTCATTTTTACTGCCTTTTTCACCACCTTCATGTCTGCGTGCGCCACCGGCCCATATTTCCCCTAGGTCACAGATCCCTTTGTGCAGCACCTGCTGGTCACTTCCTCTCCCGAATACGTTGGACTTCTTCGTAATTCTCGTGCGAGTCCTTCAAAAAGAGACATTATGCAGGGAATACGCTTCTCCACCTGACCATTTCATGGACTCATCGCGTTTGCCCGTCATTGCTACCTTTCGTCCACCCTCCCTGCACATCCCTGCACCTGGTCCACCAGTATCTAGGTCTGCGGCATAGAACCCTGGCTGGTCTGACAACATTGAGACATATTTTGACGGATGGTTCCTTGCAGCATTTACTCTACTCAAATGTTGGTTCGAGATTCGATACGAAAGGGTTGTTCAGGCCAGTGGCTGACAATGCGATGGCTTTCTTCAACGCCCTGGCAGAGTTTGCATATGATATGGACTGCGCAGCGGTGACGGCATGCAAGCAGCGCAGTGAACAGCATGAAATCGTCTAAGTTCTTTGGGCTGGAGGTCAGGTGCACGGGTCAGAAAGACTTTTTCTCGTTGTTGGCAGGACACGCAGCAAGTAAAGGCTCAAATGCCGGCAGGGATATTGTACCCTGAAATCTATGACGAGGCCGCAACAACTTCTTGCGATCAGGATAGATGCGAAGGCTTTGCCCATCGTTCCTTTTTGCATGCAAGTCGAGATGGCAGAATACACCTTTTGTCATTAATATTACACACACATATATATATATATATAATATAACCTACCTTGCAGGCAATGGATGTTCTCACCGTTTTCAAGCTCTCCAGGCAGACATGTTGGCGACATTACAGTATATAGTTTCGGTAGAGCCATTGGTGTGCCTGGCAGAAGCATGAGGCAATTGGCAATTGTGAACCTGGTAGATGATTTCAATTTCAAGGAGTATTAGAACGGACAGCTGGGCTATTTTGGAAATCTTGCCTTCAAGTCGATTTCTGCGCAGGACTTTTGGGAACCCATCTCAAAGCGATTTCGGGCTTTGCTCAGTGCCTCGATACATATATAATGCTTTCGGGTGTGTGACACCAGTTGTCCATCCCCCACCGCCCATACCACCCGTCCTAGATTTTGTTGTATCGCTCCCGAGGTGGAATGATTAACTTCTGCCGGTACAAGGAGGCTTGCATGCAGTGTTCAATTTGTCGACGACTGACATTATCATGGCCAAGGCACATGTTTGTTGAATTAACATCAGCGGACCAAAAGAAGACAGCCAGCAAAGAGCTTGCACATCTCAACAGATCACAACAAGCACAAGTGGATCCGATGACTTTAGAACAGACACGGCCATTGCCCAAAACATTGCGTAATTAGGGGTTGCATCACTTTAAATGGGCAAGGGTCTCAGTTGTGACGTGGAAATAGGACTCGGATGTGACACCGACCCTTTTTCTCGGATATGACACGGTGACGCAGTGACGTAGCATATCTCTTCGATCACGACGTTCCCATAGAGTAGGAGTAGCTGCAGCAATGACCCTAAGACCTAAAATCCTAAAGCCTAAACCCCTGAAACCCTCAATTAACCCTAAACCCTAAGCCCATGTTGTGTCGCCAATGAGCCAGATTGGTGTCGCAAATGAGTCAGATTTGATGTCGCAAATGAGATCCTTGCCGTTAAATGGCATGCTTTGGCAACATGGGTAGCCTTTTTCCCTACTATATAATCAGTTTACTGTTGGGGATCTCTCTTAGGACCTCCTGTTGTCCTCTTCTTGTCCGCCTTTTGTCCTCTTCTTGCTCTTCTTTTGGTGTGCAGCTAGGCCGCTGCTGCCAGCCGGTCTCCAGACCTTGTCCTCCTGTTGTCCTCTTTTTTCTCTCTTTTCCTCCTCTTGTCTTCCTCTTCTCACCCCGTTGTCGTCCTCTTGTCCTCCCATTGTCCTCGTTGCGTCCTCTTGATCTCTTCTTGTCCTCCACTTGTCCTCCTGTTGTCCTTTTGTTCTCCAAACCGTTTACTGTTGGTGTTCTCTCTTAGGAAAAGAAGACACTGGCCACAGTCTCTGGCCCCGCCCCTGAACCTTGTGTCCTCCTGTTGTCCTCCTGTTGTCCTCTTCTGGTCCTCCAGTTGCTCCACTTCTTCTTTAGCCCTCCTGCTGTCTTAGTGCTTGCGAACCCTCTGTCCTCCTCTTGTCCTCTTGTTCTCTTGCAGACCAGCCACCTATGTTTCAGCCGGCAAGGGACTCAGACAACGGCACCACTCAGTGTGCCCATTGTGGCTCCACATTGTGGCTCCTCCTTCAAATCTTCAACAACTTCTACGGGCTCAGACAGCATGTGGAATCCAATGCTTGCAAACGCTTTGATGCCAATCGGGGTGCAGGGGCAAACGTCCCCCAACACAAACCCTGGGTTCGAGACCTCTGTCAAGCTGGTCAACCCTCATACTGGCTACAGGATCCCGGTCTCCAAGACATATTGCAACAGCAGTGTGCGCTGTGTGGGAGACGTATCCAGAATACTTCAGGTATTGCAGACCCAGCAAGCCCAGCAACTGGCAACGTTGCAGCAGACGGTGGGCCCGTCTGTCCTTGACACGAGTCACAGTTGCAGGCGCTGGCAAGCACACCGGGCCAAGCTCGATCATGCCATCCTGACCAGCACACAGACGTGGAAAGACCAACAACAGCAAGGGTTGACCACTCAGCCACTCCGGGTAGTGCTCTGCCAAGTCAACACCGGAGGGTCATTGGCCAGTCCTTCAATGGGACCCGGCTCAGAAGAAGCTGGCGCAGCTGCCCAACAAGACCCCTATTGCGGGGGAGAAGATTCAGAAGAGCCGACGAAGGCCCCTGTCCACTCTTGAGGTTCAAGAGCCCACCACACCCACAAGCTGGGTCAGAGCAAGAAGGCCGTGGTGCCCTTCCTGATTCAGGTGACTCGAGAGCCCGGCCGCAGTGGCCGATCTTCGTAGATCAGGGACTGGCTACCATGATGGGCTGGCGCTTGAGGAATCAAGCACGGCATGCTTCAATGTCAGGGTATTCAGTGGCAGGATCTCAACCATGGGTGTGAAATCTTCCAAGCCTTGTGCAGCAGGGCAGATAGTGCTGTTGATGTCTTGAGAGTGGAAGCCACCCGCACTCTGCTGCAGGGCCGGAACAGTGAGGGTCAGCAAGAGTTCATGGCCTTCACGACAGCCGCATCTGGTGGCCAACACCTGGGAGCGCCGCTTTGCCGAGGGTCTGGCTGTCAAGTGTCATGACCAAGGGGCTCGATTTGGTCCGATCATTCGGCGCTGGATCAAAAATCACTGGACTTGCAACACTGTGTTGATGAGTGGCGTGATCAATATGGTATTTCTGCCTTAGTTCAGGATCGTCGAAGTCTCACACTGTACATTGAAAAGTCCGTGCACTTGCCCTCAGGTCAGTCAGTCAAAGCGGACTGGCAGCTTCATGGCTCTGTGGATGCACTTTTTTCGAGAGGCCCAGGACCTGACGCATTTTTGATCTGGCTGATGCGGCATCTGATCAGTCGACCAGCTCCGATTCGCTCAACACTTCTCAGGGACGAGCTTTTGACCCAATGCAGTCCGGTGCTATGCAGCCGGGAATTTTGAGACAGACACGTCTTCTGAGGACGGCGTGCCCAGTGGCAATGGATGCTGGGCTTGACCCATCTAGCGGATACTTGGCAGCGTTGGGAGGAAGAACGCGTTCAGTGTTTGTGGTGCCTTGGCACGTTGGATCTTGAGCGTGGCTTGCGCTGCTCTCTGTCTCATAGATGCCAGATGCTTGCCGCTTTGGGACTGACCCATGCCTATCATGCGCAGCGCCTTCTGCCTATGGGGACGATCTTTGACATTGCCCTGCCACCAAGCGAGAGGGTCTTTGGTCCCACGCGGATCTCACGGAGATGATGGATGCTCAGTTCAGGGCCATAGCTGCACAGCAGGGCGCTGCGGCACTTGGTGAGGTGCTGATGCAACGCGGGCCGCTGCCAGCCAGTCTCCACACTCCAGACCTTGTCCTCCTTCCTCCTGTTACAGTTGTCTTTTTTTGTCCCTTGTCTTTTCCTTTTCTTGTCCTCCCGTTGTCCCTTCTTGTCCTTCTGGTGGTGTCCAGATGACAGCGTGGCAGCGTGTAGACGTATGACATGACACCGTGACAGCATGCGTGTGTGAACTCTCTCTCGTCCCCAACCGCAACCAAAGGGTCCAACGAGAGAAAGCAATTGCGCGCGCGCAAGCCTTGTGTGGCACCTAGTGGAAAGCGTCGCTGGCAAGCGGGGAGACCGCAGTACCGCAGCATGGCCACGTGGCAGCGTGTCAGCATGTAAATATTACAACGTGCGAGCGTGCGCTACACAGCAGTGAGGCGCCAGCAAGACAACTCCAGAAAGCAACCCCAGAAGCCGATGCCCTCTCCTTGTCCTCTTCTCGTTCTTCTTGCGGGACTCTCGGAAGCTGGCCACAGCGTCAGGCCATGGCGGCGAGCCTCCTCTTGCCCTCTTGTCGCAAGCTTTTCAATGCTATCGTTTTGGCGGCTGTGTTGTTGTCCTTTTGGCGTTGTCCGGTCACAGCTTGTCCTTCTTTTGTCTTCTTGGTGTGTTTGGGTTGTTTTCTGTCATCCTTTTCTCCTTTGGTCAGTTGTCCTGCTGCTGTCGTGCTGTTTATGTTGCTGTATGTTGCTGTCCAAGGCAGGGGCTGGAACCGCCCACCGCATCAACAACAATTCTTGCCGACTAAGCTGTTTGGGGTCTACGTCGGCATATTTTTTCAATCGCCTTCCGGAGCAGCATGAATGTATGCCAACAGCATTAAGGTCGCGACACAGAGATGCATTAAAGAATGCGCTGCAAGGATTCAAAACTCAAAACGAAGATTTTCATGTCGCTCCTCGAAGACCACCGCCTGCGCCAGGATCATTGTTTCACTGTTGAACAGCGTGCCATTGATTTGACCGTTACGGAACACCTTACTTGACCCAAGTGCCGTTTGGGGCTGAGGTTTGGCCCAACATGATGCAACTGGGTTTCTTTGAGTTCAACTGGGACAGGGGGAACATGGACCGCAAAAAGTGTGCCATCGATGCCAAGCCTGCAGGCATGTTGAGTTCAGCCAGGCTCACGCTGGATGTTTGGCGGGTTTGGCGGTCACCGACAGGGAACAAGCGCCAAGCACTTTATTAAGCTTTCGGCATTTTACACCAGCGCAAAGTGTTGGACGTTTGGGCCCACGCTCCTGGCCAAGTTGGACAAAGTTGAGCCCAAGATTGGGCCCATGCTCCGATGCCCCAAACCCTCCAACGCAGAGACGTTTGCGCACTTTTTTGGGCCAAAATGCACGCCCCTGCAAAGCATTTGTGCACTTCACTTCGTGCTGGTGGGCCGATGCTATGACGCGAGCGTACTACGCCTCGGCACCTTCGGGGCGGCGGGTTTTGCTTTCGTAGAAGTGTGACCCAAAAGGACAATCACTATCTTGGCAGGCAGAGGCGATCTCAAAATTTACAAAATTAACTTGTTGTTGGGGTTCTTGTCCTTCTGGTGTCCTGCTGTGCTGGCCACGCTTCTCCTGCTGTCCTCTAGCTCCTCTGGCCGCGCTGCCAAAACCCATTTGTCCTCCTCTTGTCCTCCTGCTGAAACTCAAGTTGCGTGGCCACGCCGCTTTCCTTTTCTCCATTGGCCAGGCCAAAGTCATTGTAATCACAGGGATGAAAGAGGACTGCGGACTGTGTTGTGCTGTTTCGCTGTGGTTCGATGTGGTGCGTCTTGATTGACCTTCAGGATGTACAGGCGCTTGATGCCCAGCGCTTGGAGCTTGTGGAAAAGCTGAACCAGGTGGGCTCAGTGATGGTCTGGGTTTGCGTTTTTGCCCAGTTTGCCAAAACAGGTGGATTCTGACCTGGGTGCTGCGCAAGTGCGTCACAATGCTGAGCTTCAAGACATGTGGAAGGCCGAGAATGAGGCAGGCCGGAAAGAGATGCTTTTTGGGGCTCTCACACGCGTGCCATTTATGTCCACATACTCCATTCCATTCCATTCCATTCCATTCCATTCATCCATTCATCCATTCATCCATTCATCCATTCACTCACTCACTCATTCATTCATTCATTCATCCATTTGATCATTCATTCCTTCCTTCCTTTCTTCCTTCCTTCGTTGGTTCGTTGGTTCGTTGGTTCGTTGGTTCGTTCGTTGGTTGGTTGGTTGGCTGGTTGGTTCGTTCGTTCGTTCGTTCGTTCCTTCAGTTCATTTCATTTCATGTCATGTCATTTCATTTTCATTTTCATTTCGTTTCATTCGTTCCATTCATTTTCATTTTCATTTCGTTTCATTCGTTCCATTCATTCCATTCTTTCCATTTCTTCCATCCATTCATTCATTCAGTCATTCAGTCATTCATTCATTCATTCATTCATTCACTCATTCACTCATTCACTCATTCACTCATTCACTCATTCA